CTGAGCTTTTAGAATGTTGTTTATAACTGTAAAATGATATCTGAACTTTCCGGCCAAGGATTTTGATGCTAATTACTATTCCGGTAACAAATGCCGTAACTTCAACATTGTTAATACCAAGATCTGCCATTATACAAGATCCTGAATATAAAATATAACTTTATTTCTATCATAGTACAGTCAATCACAACATAAGTTCTTGAAATCAGATTAAACTCATCAATGTCCGACATTTACAATATCATCCTTAGGCTTATATACATACGTAGCAATACCAGAGAAACTGACAGGTTATTTTTCAAGAACGTACACAAAAATTTAGAGTCAGAATCAGTGTTACTTTACGACTGCAAGTTTACAGCAAAATAAGTTCGTCTTGAGGATAAAGGTCAGTGTTTTTTTTTTTTTTTGCAATTGAGCCCGTACGGTCCTACCCCTCTTGCAGCATCATCTCCTGCGAGAGGATGTCTTTGTCTGTTATAAATAGGCTTGGCTTTTGTCAGTCCAGTCCAGTACAGTAAATGGCTGCTGGCCCTCGCCAGCACAGTCATTCTTCGTTTCGGTACCCGTCTGGAACCATGACCATATTTTCGTTCCTTCCAGATTTCTACGTGTTTCAAAATGGGGCATCCCCTTCGAGGAGAAAAGGAGTCTTACGATTACTGGTCACTTCCCCTCTTCTGGGGAGTGACTATGCTGTCCCTAACTCTCACTCACTCACTCACAGAGCCAGAGTCAGAATTACTGCACAACTGGCTGTTTACCGCCAATCAGTTCCTCTTGGCGACAAGCTCCTTGAGACTTACGACCAGTATTCTTTTAACTGAACACTAACGGTTATAGACCTTATGTAACATCCTCTCTGACCAGAGGGTGGGTAAATTGTATACAATTGCTGCTGGCCCTAGTCAGTGCAGTCATTCTCAGGTCAGAATCCCGCAGGAATCATGATCACATTTTACTGTTTCAGATTCGAGACTCCCCCGACCTGAAGGGCCAGGTCCCCGTATTTATATCCCCCGGGGCAGGGTGGCTCAGTTATACCCTCGCCTCCTACGACTCGCAGGGCTACGGTGGAGGTATATGAACCCGCTTCCACCCTCGCTCACTCCTCATTATATAACCCCGGCGCAGACAACATAGAAAACACCGCTTCCAAGAATTCTTCTATTGTTGAGTGACATGTCAAGAAGGCTGGTGCCTAATGACCGCCTGGGTGTTGCTGACGCGAGAATGTGTTTTAGTTGAAATGAAAACGTGCTTACCGGCTGTTGACTAGCAATGAGCGACTTCTCTTGACCCACTATTCCGACTTTCAATCGTCATATCACATTAGGTACGATTATGAGAAACATCCTGAGTCAGTTTCTTTTGCATTACTAAGTATGTACCCCTGAAGATGGCATTGTGAATGTCGAAACATATGGGGAAAGTGATGGATACAATCTAATTTTAAAAACTTGTGTTGTAATTAGCTGTACTGTGATAATGAACAGCGTTGTGCAGGTCACAAAGCAGAAAGCAGCGAAATGCATTAACATAGGTATCTCTACGGTAAGTTGACCCTGTTCTAAACACCATGCCATAAAGGCGCATGGGGTAGCAATGTTGATGCTTCACGCTCCAGCCGCTCCTGCAGGAAGATCCCCGACAACTATTGGAAATGAGTCTTGATGGCCCCCCACAAATGGTTTGACCTGGTGACGAAGAGGAAAACATTTTTCGGCAGTCGAAGACTGGTTATTCAGCACACCTTGTGATAGACACCCCTCCAACTGAAGTCTGTGTCTTCCATTTGGAATTTGAGGACAACTAAACCGTAGAAATGAAGAGAGGACTGGTTCATCACAAAAGTTGATGAGTCAGATAAGACCGATCTGTGTGAGTGTTACAACTCGCTGAGTTAGAAAAATAGGCTAACCCTCCGGGGTGCACGTGCTAAGACAGTGTCTCCAAATAGATGTTATTATTTTTAAAATGTAGCCTCTAAAACGCCTGTCAAATGCTTTGCATTAAAAGGTTTAAATCAAGTTTTCTTTTTTCGAATTGGAATGCAGTTCCTTTCACATGGTTTTTCTCACTATGAAGGAAACTTTAAGAGAGATCGTGTAACTCCACTAGAGCTTATGTCAACTTTAAAATGTAAATTTATTGAGGTGTTGAAAGAGAAGAGATCTGTACTGCCATCTGCGGACAGAAGGGGAACTAGTAATCATGACTATGAATATCTATTAAAAGTACTTCCAATTTTTACGCAGGTCTTCGTTAGATGTCATTTATTGAAATACCTACTGTGTGACACGCCATTTTCCTACATTACATGACGATATTTCAAGGGTGAACGAGCAGTTTCGCTCTTTGTAATAGGTCGTTTAGAGAATATGGACTTGAATGTACTCACGTATACCATAATCAGGCTTAAGAAACTTTTAGAAAATGTTTACCAAAATATGTTGAAAAATAAACTGCTGGACCTACATAATGTTACTTTATTCGCAGCCCTTTTTTTTCAAATAGTGATATATATATACGGACTGTTTTTCTGGACATCACCCTTAGTCCAATTTATTACTAAAACGATATATCGGAAACAGGAATCATTCTCCGTCCTCAGGTAGAAGCCCTACTCAGTTTGAACCAGCCCATAGAGAGAGCCACTGTTTCCGGATACATGCACTTATGACGGACTGGGCATGTTACTAGGATGGAGAATACTAGAAATGCATGAAGCATTTTGGTATAGAAATCCCTTCGAAGACCGAAAGAGAAGAGAGGGAATAGAGAGAATACAGAGAATAAGGGGTGGATAGAAATGCCTCAGGCTCGGGTACAAAGGCAGGAATTGGTAATAGCAATGTTAAACTTAGGGCACTGCGGTGTTATTTACTTGCCTGATTACGTCATTGGTTGATTTCTTAGTTACTTATTTAGTCCACAATTTATGGCATTAACACGGATCAGTTCAGAGAACAAACTGATAAACAGTCCAGCAAAACACTCCATAATTTCCTTCAAACCTTTCTCTACTCACATTTCACGTTCATTCCCATAGAATAAGAACAAAGATAAACTTTTAGTTTGGTCAGTAATATTCAAAATCTTAAAACCAAACTTTGTTCCTCATTCAAGAACCTGGTAAATACGGGATCAGGTGAGAATCACTGATGAAGGCAGATACTACGCTGGCAGGTAAGGCCTGCTGCAGGCCTACGTCAGGGTAAGTTATGAATGAGAAATGAACGTCAATGCATCGGTCCTTTTTAGCAGGGTCACACCCGAACTACCCTTAAGAAGCCTGTGTCATGTTGCAAGTTTATTCCAATAAATCACACGTGGAGAGTCGCAGGATCGAATCCGGTCCTCATCCTGCTAAGTCGGATGCTAATAGTCTAAGTTATAACAAGTTCTTTGTTAAGCACGTATAACTTACTACAAAGTCCAAACTTAGTTTAGAATTTTCTCTTTACAGGACGATTAATTTCATTGCTGTACCGGTATGTGAAATAGTTATGTATTATTCTTACAATTATTAAACTAAAAGATGTCGCTAGTTGAATAATAATAGTAATTTACGAAGGCTGAAACAGGCCTGCGAGCCTCTGGTTTCTGATTCCTAACTTAGAAGAGTGATTGCACTGTTTAGCTCAGATAATTCATTGTACTGTTGAATTAAAGCAATGGGTTGCGCTGTTCAACTTAGGCAATTTATTACTACGGTTAACTTAGATTACAATGGTAAACTCTGAGATTGTCACTTTATTATACATTTCAAGTTTCAGTCTTAATTGCTTCCAAACTCCTGTGCATATCTGTTATTTCCCTTTCCGGTTCTGTGGAAGCCTGGTGCATTTGGTTTGCAATTAATGTATTTAGAAGTGTGGGTCTGTTGCTTCTAATTAACTAGTAATTACATTTTCATTCTAAAAGTAACTACACATTACATACCACTTACACTAAGCATAGGCCTTAAAATAACACTTAGTTTAGACAAGAAGTTACTTACTTCCGGTCATATGCTTACAGTTTTGTAATTGACATTTGTATTGACTTGGGGGGGGGGAAACTTCGGTTCTCCCAAATATTAATGGATCCGTTGTGGATCCCTGTTCTCGTTGTGTCCAAACCAAAATTCCTGCCCATAATACTGAAGCCAATAGAAGCCTGCATGAGGCCATCGTGACAACTATCGGCTATAACCATGCATAGTCAAGATGTTTATTCCATGTTAGGCAAAAGTGGGCACTGAAAAATCAAATGGTACGAGTACTCCTTCTTCTGCCCCCATTTTCTGCTTCAGGTGCTTTCAGAGAAGTCCGTACAAGAAATTCAATAAATCATAACTTACAGAATTTTAACAAGCAATTACTCGCATAAGATATTTCAGTAAATTCAACTAACACATCTTATAAAAACATAATTCTTACAAGAAGTTCCAGTAACTCGAACTTACGAAAGTTTGCAAACCGTAATTAATACTGAAAATATTAATAAATTCGGCTTAGGAAATTTTACAACAGTAACTCGTACAAAAAATTCAGAAAAATCAAGTTGGAAAGTAAAACTAACTTTCACTCCTATGAGGCCGAAAATATGGATCCATATTGACTATAAATATAGAACTTGACACAAAATTGGCACCTGATGATGACCCATTAGGGATGTAAACATATTGTGTCATAGATACACGTCCTCAATGTAAATAGGTCATTTGTATACTTTCATAGATCGCTGTGTTGACTGAAAATACGAAATAAAGAAATTTTATCTATGAGACCGTTTAGGAATTAAAATGTCTTAACCAAATTGTTCAATGAACTAGAGTCATTTCTGAGAAGCCAACAGTCGCTCAGCTGATCAAGATATTTCAGAAAACTCATCCTGACAAATGAGCACAATTTTCATTTCCATAAGGTATTTTAGGAATGAGAGTTACTTAATTAAGTTAATCATCGTACATCGGTAGACAAACTGACTTCATTTTTCACCCTTACACATTTTAGAGAAAAAACAAGCTGCAACTGAAGAAGCGCAGAAGAACGACGCTGACGAGGTCATGGATCCCACGAGACTGCACTCCTCCATGGTGATCCTCTTCCTAGCAATCCAGTTTTCTGTCTGTGCTGGTACCTGCCACATGAGCCCTTGCGAAGCCCTTCAAGAGATGAAAAACGAAATCTCCAAGTACTCTAGTGCAAATGCAGAGCCAACCCATGGTGAATCATTGGAGATCAGACTAGCCCAATTGGAACGGCGCATGAGGTCCATAGAACAGCCAAGTATGTGGAAACATATCACAAGTTCTTGTTACTGCACTCATATGTTGGAATATCTCAATCGCAGCCAGGAATGTAGTAACATCTTCAGCGATTTCTTGTACTTTATTGCTTACATTGAAATAGGTCTAGAACAGCCAGGTTTTAGCAACATTTGTTACGATTTCTTGTTATTCTTTCATACACTGAAATACGAGTAATTATTGAACAACCAGGAGTTAAACAATATCTGTTACGATTTCTTGCTCTGTAGTAAAGGCTGAGTCGACCACAAGGCCATAGTGCGGCTAGAAGAATTAGTTAAATTGAAAAAATCAAATGACCTCATCGGGTATCGAAACTGAGACCTTCCGGCTTGTAGCATAGTGCCTCAACCAACTATGCTACCGCGTGCCCCATTTCCTTTTAGTGCATACAGCAAATTAACTCTGGATCACAGTAATACTTGCAACGACCTCTCGTCCTTTCGCGCTTGTATTGAAGTAACTCTGGAATAGCCAGATATGTAGTAATACTAATGACCATTTTTTATTCTTTCGTGCCTACACTGAAATGACTCTAGAACACCCAGGTATGTAACTACGTCTTTGATGATTTCTTCTTATTCCGTGCATAACACAAGGTAATTTCGATTGTACAACACAACGTCCAGCGCTGCGAACGAATACGTATGCTCGCAAATGCCCCAGTCTTGAGTCAGTTCTGCAGAGTTCATACCGCCACATGCTACCTGTATGTTCATAAGCACCATTCTGAGTCCTCCCTTCTTTTCTCTCTGAACAACTGCAATACGTCTTGCTTGGTTCAGGAAGTACCGGGTAGAACCTCGGCTGAAGCACAGCTGTGTCAGTACTAATATGGTGTTTTGGCCGCGCCATAGCTCAAGCGGTTAGTCGCTGGCTTCCCACCACGGCGGCCCGGGTTGGATCCCGGGTCTAGTCAAGTGGGATTTGTGGTGGAAAAAGTGGCGCTGGGGCAGGTTTTCTCAGAGTGCTTCGGTTTCACCTGCCAATCTTCATTCCACCAATTGCTCCATAATCACACTCACCTATCATCTGGGGCTGGTACAATAGTCCAGAAGTGGCTGCAATCCAAGGGACTTAGTCCCACACCACTAGCAAAAAAAATGGCGTCTTTCTTCGGACCAAATATGTTAATTAGGTTCCTCCACGCCACCCTCGTCACTTCGATCTACATACATCGGATTTTTCCAGTGGAAGGTAGCCTATTTTCCAAGAAAATTTCATTAAAAATTAATCCATTTTAGAATATTTCTGCTGATTATACTACTGTATTCCGGACAAATTGTGTTTTATAAGTTAATTTTAATTGTTCGTATTAATATCTGGTATTTCTTGAAATTGGGTTTTTAAAAGAAAAAGAAAAAGCCGGAATACTGGCTGGACAACCGGGTAAGCGGGGTTCGACTCTCGGCAGAAGATAGAAGCTTTCATTTTCTCGACAGCGACCAGAACAGCTCTGGCCTCCTACGTCCTATCAAGTACATACGGGGGGGGGATTTCCCGGGGGTTACGTGAGCGGGGTTTGAAACTGACCATTCAACTCAACCTGCTGTCACGATTAAGAACGCACGGAGCTACAAATCCTCTTCCCCACATCTCTTCACAGAATGATGTTTAATTACGCACAAGGATAACTTTACCTTTTCCTTACACACCATTTATGTCTAGACGTCCCAAGTGGTCTCTTCCCTTCTGTTCTTCCCACCAAAATTTTGTGTGCACTTCTCATTATTTTCATGCATAACACATGCCTCTCCCATCTTATCCTTACCTGATCATCCTGCTAGTATACCTTGTTCATTGTGCAGGCTTATCAGATATCGATGGAACTTCTTAGTACGTGGTCTCCACACACACTGCGGGAGCATGCGGTAAACTGGTCATTCACTCGGTAATCGCCTGATCACTGTGTCAGTCTGTGTTACATCGCCAAGTGTTACGAAGTTTCTTTGTATAGTGTTCTGTTCTGTGTCTTCATGGCTTTTTGTGAGATACAATTTAGAACAAAGAGTTTTCATTTATTATTATTATGTGAAAAAATGAATTTCATCCAAATCGTGTAGAAGAAAATTTTCCGAAAGAAGATGTTCATATGGAGATTTTTTTTCTTTGACACTACAGCCCCAGTTGGCCTAGGCCTACCTCCATGAACTTTCTCCGTTCACTTCGGTTTTTCTAGATCTAACATATACGGTAGGACTCCTTGGGCGAGTGATCAGCTCGTCGCAAGGCCTCTACCTGTACACAAACACAGAAAAACGCATACAAACATCCATGCCCTGAGTGGGATTCGAACCCATGATCCCGGCTTCCGAGCGAGCGAAAACAGTGCATGCCTTAGACCGCGTTCATCTGGAGATACAATTCCCAAATAAGTGAAGAAAGTTCGTACCCACGTTTTTTTAATTGATAAAAAGCCGTTAAAAGGAAATCGTGTTTTAACTGAGACATCGGTCATCGATTAGAAAATTCTCGAAAATCTTTGCGGCGATTAGCACAACAAAATGGTGTTTCGGTAAGCAGTGCGTGGACAGCAGCTCAACTGTTGCATGTTCGTCCGCATAAAATTATCGTTGCTCCTGAAATTAAACCTGAGGATTATACAAAAAAGGAGTGAGGTTTTGTAAGTGGTTTATCAGTCATGTGCATGAGGAACTTACTGATCCTACACTGATATTTTTGACAGATGAGGCTTATTTTAATCTCTCACAAAACAATAGGTAACGGAGTAGTGAAAATCCTCATGCACTAATTCAACTTCCTCTTTACGACCAAAAGATCGGCATATGGCTTGCGATTAGCGCAAACCGTATCATTGGACTGACATTTTATGAAGGAGCTCATGATGCTCAACAATACATTATGAAATACTCGATGCATTTTTCGTTAATTTGGCACCTGCAGAGGAAACATTCGGTTATTTTATGCAGGACGGGACGACTCCACGCACAGCTAAGGAAACTATCTGAGCACTACGTGGTGTCTGGGGAACTACGTGAGGAGGAGAGGATTATTAGCAAGGGTTTATGGCCCCATAGATCCCTACTTCTAAACCCCTGTGATTTGTATTTATGGGGAAAATATAAAAGTGTTGTATATGCCAACAACCCCAATGACCTGAAGGCTCTAAAACAGAATATTCTTGAAGCAATTTATAACATTCAGCAACTTGAATTGCAACAAGTTTCCCGAAAACTGTTTAAAAAACTCAGACATATCTCACAGCAGAGGGCAGACATTTTGAACATCTTCTATGGTGGTGAGTAAAATATTAATTACTATATCTGGTTAATAACTAACGAAAGAATAAACAATGTGTGCTAGCAGTTCCGGCCCCTCAGTGGAATTTATCTCGGCAAGTGGAGCAGCGCTATCTCAGGAATTTGCCTACGCTGAAATCAATGTCCAATCATCCTGCGCTCTGGGCCCCGGTGTATGACGGGAAGCGCAACTTATGGACCTCCTCCTCGTGTGGTTCTCACTTCCTGTTCTTCGAAACTCTTTAATCAATGGCAATAGTTAAGTATGATTTAATAAATAATAAATAATTTACTGGTAAGCTGAAGAAAGTTGTGGAATACAAAAATATAGCCACAAATTAATAAATAACTGGTGCTAAAACATTACATTTTTGTGTGTTTATGTATTCGTTTGACTTCGATTTCAATTATACTTAGTCTTGCTGATAGTACGCGTTGCCAGTTTACTTCTTTTGCTTACAACATCTCGGCACAGACCACATAGGAAACACAGCTTTCTATTGTTGCGTCACAACTGTTGCCTAGCGATGGGAACGTGTTTACCAAGCCTTTGACCAGAAACGGTCGCTGTTTACAGAGTCAGACACAGCAACTGTCTATACTGCACAATATTATCAGAGATCTTAAAGGTAGGGTCAGGTTAGAATCTACTTGTGTGTTCTTTAAACACGGTAATGAATATTAGTGAAAATTATTTACTATCTGAGCTACTATCTTCTTCAAAAACATGGTTCATCTCCATGCAGTTAGAAAGATCGCCCAAAATGGAATATAAATAAATTTAGAATTTGCCAAAACGTTATTAACTTAATTCAATATAATGGAAATTTCAATTGACGATCCATTTTCTCCAAATATACTAGAAATTATCGGGTGAATAAGTACCTCAGTAGCGGCACGTCTGTAGCTGTCCGCATATGGAGGAATGCCTGTTCTCCTTATACGAATTTGTTTGCTGCCAAAGTCTTCTGAGACACGTGTAGCTTTATTTGTTTATTTATTTGAAATGTATTCACATGCGAGTCGGTAACAGAGCACGCAGCGTTGAAAGATTGGACCACAGCAAATAATTTATTCCAGGGAAGTTGGGTTCTTTCCTAATTTTAAGATATTATCCCGGCAGCCAAGATTCGAACCGAGAGCCTCATGAATACAAGCGTTGTCACTTTAGTCGACTTGCTTGATGAGTAGCTTAATAAAAATGTATAAACATTACGTTCATTTCTCATCGATTTGCAAATAATTGCATACAAAAACTATCTTAACAACAACTGTCTCGAATAATTAAAATTCTGACTTTAATATGGAGTAGTTGACAAGAAATAAATCAATTTTAAAAAATGCTCCAGGTGAGGCTCGAACTCACAACCCCGGCATTGCTCAAGTACTGTCATATAAGTACCGTGCGCTAACCAATTGCGCCACTGGAGCTCTTGAAGTCACCATTCTTATGTCTTTGGACGTTCGTTTTTGATGTGAAATGCATTCCCGCCAAAGAAGCTGTAATGCAACCGTGCTCATTGTCTGAACAATAAATACAGTGGGACACGGTTCCTGGCAGACAAAGAAGCACGGGTAACAAACAGCAATGGATATCGCTAGCTATTTGACGTGTATGCGTTTTTCCTGCTTATTTTTGAACATAAACTCCATATAAAAAAGTCTTTCTTAAGACACTGATATGTGTTCTGTTGGTCAAGAAATATTAGATCTGTTATGA